CCAAGACAGTGCCACACACAGACCCTTCAAATTCCCCACCCCCCAAAAAGGGGGGTTGGGGGGCTCATAAATGATTAGCTGAACTGTTTTGTCCCCATTGATCCATCAGAGCAAAATGTTTGTTAACCAAACCTAGATTGAGTTGTTCCCCCCGACTCCCTGGAATCCGGAACTTTGGTCATTCTCAGCCTGAGCCCTCCTCCACCTTGCCATAATCCTAATAAAGTCTCTCCTTACCAGGTCTGAATTTCATTTTATTAAAGTGAATTCACATAGTATAAAATTGGCCATTTTAAAGCGAACGATTCACTGGCATTTAGTATATTCACAGTGTTGAGCAACCACCACCTCTATCTAGTTCCAGAACATTCCCATCACTCCATGCCCATGGGGCAGTTACTTCACATTCCCCTCACCCCCCACTTGTTTTTGTTTGATGCTTGCAGTTCTGTGCTGGAGGAGTGAATTTAATTCTTGTTCACCCTTGATGGTTTTAGTCTTTGGGGTCGGTAGTGGGTTGAATAATGGCCCCCCAAAAGATACACCCATGTCCTAACTAACACCTGGGAGCCTATGAATGTGACTATATTTGCAAAAAACACAGATATGGGCTCTAAATGCAATGGCAAGTGTCCTTATCAGAGACAGAAGACAGACACCACCAGAGAGGAGGGAGGAGAGACCATGTGACCACAGAGGCAGAGACTGGGGTGATGCATTCACACCCCCAGGGATGCCTGCGGAAGTCACGTGCTGACCCTGCACCTGCAGGTCCTTAGTTGATGGACCTGAGCTCAACAGGTGAATTCACCTTCATGCCCTGACCCCACCTGGGGCAGCTCCGGGACTCCAGTGTTCAAGGGCTGTGCGGGGCTCAGGATTCGGCTCTCCCCAGCCCAGCTCAGCCTGACAGGCATGTTCAGGTGTGGAGGTACCCCTTCCAAGTCTGGAAGAAATGAATTTCATGTGCAGAACGAGCCAGAGGCTGGGGGCAGCTACTACTGAGTCTTCCCTAATGAGTGGGCAGGCTCTGCAGGACTACTTCATATTTTCACTGTTAGAAGCACAATTTTTCTGCTTTTAAACACTTCAGTGGGGCTCCTGTTGCTCCGGAAATAATGATCCAAATCCCTAATATGGTACCCAAGATACACATGGTCTCTCTCAATATTAGCTTAGCAAGACTGACACATACACACACACACACACACACACACTTGGATGTTATTCCTTGTGAGTCCCAGGAGGCTCTCTACCCTCCTCTTTCTCCCAGGAAGGGTGGCCTCTGTATCCAGGCAACTGGACCCCGGTTGTCAGGCCAAGGAGACCCAGAGGCAATGATGTCTCCTAGAGAAGAGAAAGAATTAGGGCTCTTCTTTTCCCCTGGACGTTGCCTGGCATTGGGTGACTCTTCGGTCCTCAGCACCCACAATGTGTCAATGCTATGTGATCCTGGGTCCCTGGAATCCTGCCGGTGGCTCACCCCTTCCCCTCATTCTTTCTGCTCATCTACTGGAAAAGCAACGAACTGCTTACTTGATTTGAAAGAAGGGAAGTTTGAGGGGCCCATCTTGCAATTTTGCAGAAATCGAAAAACTGACTCAAACCAAGAGTGACTGAGTTGGAGACAGAGGTCCCGGTGTCCCTGATCCACAGAGCCTCCCCCCGGGCAGTGGGGGGGGGGGCTTCAGGGCTTCTGTCCACGGGGCCCAGGTCGGGTTGTGGACCATATAGTAGCAATGGTCACTGGAGGGATGGGCAGGGAACCCAATGCCCTTGGATCCACACGCCACGGGTTGGGGACGTGCTCTGCTGATGCTGTGTAGTGTCCCTGTGGTACACTTTTAGTTAAAAGTGACAAGTCGCCTCCTGTTTGAGGGACAAGTGGTTGAGGAGTTAAGTGAGGAACCGGTTACACATGCAAAGGAACTGAAGCTTTCTGTGTGCGGTCTCGGACTGGGCTTGTCCCATTTGGGGACTCAGCAATCTTCCTGGTCAGCAACTTCCCGGCGGAGGCAGGCTCTGCGGGGGGCTCGCTGCGAGCAGACGCCGCGGGGCCACCAGGGGGCGCGCCGAGCCCCGGTCTGGCACCGCCTCCCCCTGGCTTCCTGCCCCCACCCCGGAGGAGGGAGACACTCTGTTCTGGGGTCCCACGACCACCCTGAGGTTCGATGATTCACTAGAAGGACCTGAAGAACAACTCCTATTGTTTTAAGCCACCTAGCCTGTACATCTTTGCTAAGACAGCCCCGGTGTCGCAAAGACGTGCAGCGACTGCATGGTGACTTAAGTTGTTCAGATTCTAGCCCCTCCAGGGGTCGGACTGATCCAGTGCCTATCTGCTGTGGCCCAAGGCCCCCAGGTAAACCAGGGCACTCTTACCAGGCAGGACATTCCAAGAGCTCAGGGGTTCTGCCGGAGGAGCCGGGCAAAGGCCGGACCAATCTTTGCTTCAGGCTAATTCTTTCCTACATGCCCAGCTGGGAAGCTGAGGAATTGGGTTGCAGAGAAGCAGGGAGGCCCCGGGTATGCGTCTTGAATTCCTATGTTGTCCCAACTCTTCAAGAGAGAGATGCTCATGGACCCAGCCCCTGGGCGGTGGTGACCACGCTTCCCTGTCGGGGCAGGTCTGAGCCTGGAAGCTTCTCGCCAGAGCCGGCTACGTAATTTGTGGGGCCCAGAGCAAAATGAAAATGTGGGGGCCCTGTGACAAAAAGCAGGAAGAAGCTCTTTCCTTTCTTCCAGGGACTGTGTCTCTTGACCTGTGGTGTGGTTTGGTTTTTGTCTTCTTTACACTAAAAAAAAAAAAAAAAAAAGTGGTAAAAACACATAAGATAAAGTTTACCATTTAATTTAATTTATTTATTTTTAAAGATTTTATTTATTTATTTGAGGGAGAGAGACAGAGGGGGAGGGATAGAGGGAGAGGGAGAAGCAGGCTCCCTGCTGAGAAGCGAGCCCCATGCTTGGCTCTATCCCAGGACAATGAGATCATGACCTGAGCCAAAGGCAGATGCTTAACCGACTGAGCCACCCACGTGCCCCTAAAATTTATTTTAATGTACACAGTATCCAGTTCCAGAACTTTTCCATCACCTCAGAAGGAGATCCTATACCAGTTAGTAATCACTCCTCACCCCCTCTCCCACAACCCCTGGGAACCACTAATCCACTCCCTGTCTCCATGGATTTGTCTCTTCTGGGCATTTCATAAATATGGAGTCTTACAGTATGTGGCCTTTTGTGTCTGGCTCCTTTCACTTAGCATAATTTTTTGAGGTTTATCCATGTCATAGCATGTGTTGGTAAGCGGCACATTTTTTAATTTTAATTTATTTATTTTTAAAGATTTTATTTATTTATTTGACAGAGAGAGACACAGCGAGAGAGGGAACACAAGCAGGGGGAGTGGGAGAGGGAGAAGCAGGCTTCCCGCCGAGCGGGGAGCCCGATGCGGCGCTCGATCCCAGGACCCTGGGACCATGACCTGAGCCGAAGGCAGACGCTTAACGACTGAGCCACCCAGTCACCCCAGGCGGCACCTTTTTAAAAAAATATATTTTATTTATTTATTTGAGAGAGAGAGAGAGAGACTGAGAGGAGGTAGAGGCAGAGGGAAAAGCAGACACCCTGCTGAGCAGGGAGCCTGACATGGGGCTCGATCCCAGGACCCTGGGATCATGACCTGAACTGAAGGCAGACGCTTAACCGAGACACCCAAGCGCCTCAGTAGGCAGCAGTTTTAATAAGCAAAGGGAACTTAAATACAGGGCTTATCTTGGGCAGCAGCAAGACCAGTGGACCCTGCACCTGCCCTCCAGATCTTAAAGTTTATATACAGGGAGGCCTTAACTGAGCTCAGTCACCTACATACTGCAGGTGTTCTCAAGGCTGTGAGTCCTTCGAGCAGCATCTGGGAGCAGGAAAGGCACGCTGAACCCACATTCCAAGCACGGGGAGGGGGTGAGGAGCCTCAGTGGCCTGGGTCCCATCTTCTCGATGACCTTCCCCAACAGCTAGTTAATGTCCTGTCCTTCAGGCTTGACTGGGGGGTGGGCACTGTAGACCTTCACAGGTGTCTGGGGCTCCCAACTCTCAACTCAGCAAAGCTCAGACCCTCTCTGTGCCCAGGTAGGGCTTGGGGGTGGGAGTGGGCCTGAGAACCTGCCCTGGGGATGGGGGATGGGGGAGGTGGGGGATGCGGGAGGTGGAGGGTGGGGGAGGCGTGTGATCCAAGGATCCAATTTCCCCCTCCGGTGCTCCTCATCCCATTAGACTTCAGTTACAAAACACAAACTCAAATCTAGGGGCGCTTGGGTGGCTCAGTCAGTCAAGCGTCCAATTCTTGATCTCAGGGTTGTAAGTTCAAGCCCTGCGTCCTTAAAAAAAAAAACAAAACCTTAAAGAAGAAATAAAATGATTAAGGATTTCAAGGTGGCGACCTCAGAGAGCGTCCCACCCCAAGTGTGAGGCCCTTCTGAGTGCGGGGACCCTGTGTCCCTGCCGGCTTCTCACTGTGGAGCTGGGAGCTTGTGTGGACTGCAGACACAGCCCAAAGGCTGGCGGGGAAGCTGAGTGCCCTTGGGGAGCCAGAGGGCATTGGGTTTGGGGGGGTCACATGAGGTGTGGTGCCTGAGGGCAGGAGTCAGGCGGGTCATGTTGTCCCCTGTGTCCCCAGTCCCTGTAGGGAGTAGATGTTTGCCTGGTGAATGAATGAATGAGGGAATGAATCCTGCCCCCAGCACCTCACCTGGAGCCCTTTCTCCCCTATTCCCCCTGAAAGCCCCACTGCTCGGGCTGCCCTCATCTGAGGCCCAGGCCGGGCTCCTTCCCTGTGTAGGGCAAGCCCCATGTCCTTTCTGCTCTGCTTCTTCCATTTGTGAAAGCGGAAGTGGGAAGAAGGGATTTGTCAGGACTTTGTGGTTCCCTTTCTGAGGTTCCGCTTCCATGGATGGACACTACCCTCTTCTTCCCCCAAGAAGCTTCCTGTCGGAGTTTCCTTCTGGGACAGACAGGCGGGTCCAGAAGCCAGATGGTCTGAGGACAGGCCCCCGGGATCGTGGAGATGGCTCTTGCCACTGCTGTCCGTGCTGTTGGCTGGTGAGCGGGCCGAGGGCCGGGGG